GTAATCGGAAGACCGTACCAGACCAGGGAGCTTCCTGGTGATGTCTCTGACCCGGGCCCCAGGGAGGCAGCAGACTTCCCTGTGGGACGGGTCCGGTCAGCATCCTTTTTAAGAGGATGGAGCCATGTCACCAGAACTGGTATTAATTAGGAAGGCTGCAGGCAGGGATAAAAGCACAAATCTTCCCCATATGTGCCTGGGTAGTCAAACAAGAAGCCCACCAGTTGACTCGTGGGGTCCTCTGTTGCTGTTCCAGGAAGTTTAGGTAGCTGAGACTGAACATCTTGCAGGTCTTGGGCTAGCTGCAGTGCCTCTACTGGTGATTTAGCCCATTGAAAATATTTTGTGTATATGGATGGAGGACAGTATTGATTCAGGTGTTGCTCTGGGAAATTCCACCCTCCTGCAGCAGGGATTTGGGGCCCCTGCATTTATCTGCAGAATTTTTTTACCCTCTATTCCCATATCTGTCATGTGTCAGCTTGTTCTGGGGAGCTGAAGGTAATGCCTAGGTTTGGGAGCAGCCTTTTTTCCTGCCGCTTCCGAAGGGAGCTTGTCCCTTTCTCCTCTCCCCACTGCTGCTGCGTTTACAACTCACTTATAAAGGCATTACTATCTGTCTCTTTCAGATAAATCAACAGAGGATTACAATTCATCAAATACGTTGGTAAGCCTTATATTCACATTCTGTCTCGAGTTTGGGGATTTAAAAACTTGTATAAAGTAGTTAGCTACATGTAAACTTTTAGTTTGCTTAGTGTTTTAAAATCTGAACTATATATATTTGTATAGTGAATACATGTTTATACAAACAGGCATGCTCCTTTCACTTTTTTCAACTGGGGGAGAATCAAGTAGGCAGAAGTAGCTTTTATTAGTGAATAGTGAATTAGTGAATTAATGAACAGAAATAGTTCTATTTGCATAGAAGTCGATCTGTTCCTGTACCTAGAATTTGATAAACACTCTGCTTTCAGGTTTTATATGTCTCTATAAACATCTGTGATATAACAAAGTTTAATGACTAACCTGCAAGGTGTGATTGATCAAAACTAATGTTGATTAGCATTGATTAACCAAACTAATCTCCAGCAGAAAAGGAAGTAAAAGGTTCTCCTCCTCTCTGCTTGACCTTTACTCTGTCCTTACCAGGGCAGGCACCACTCCTGTTTGTTTTGTTAGGAGACACAATACGCTGCCGTATGTGCGTGTGAGATGGAAGAAACAAAACTTTCAATTTAAGATGATTCACAAAACCCCACAATTCCCTCATCTCTTGTTTTCTCACTGCCATGCCATTATCTAGAGTTGGCTTGTTCTGCTCCCTTCCGGAGGCAGCGTATTCAGATCTGACCATTTAGAATTCTCTGCGAAAAGAAAAGGAGAATGTTTCTGCCATTGTTCATTATTACATGTCATTGTACGTCAAATCCTCAGGAGTTTACTCTATCTGAGGCTGTTGGATTTTAAAGTAAATCCTGAAAAAAGCAGTAGTTACCAGTCTACTGAGATAGCCTGATGTTTTTGGAAGACACTGGGTAACCTTTAATTTTGGGGTTACTCAGGAAATTCGCTGTATATAGGTGGTTTTTCTTGTTGCTTTTAACAGGCTAAGCTTTTAAGTTATGTACACTTTAGCAATTATATGTCAGGATGCTGGTGACTTCAGGTTCAGTGAAATACTATGTTGTTTTCCCCTCTTTCAGAGACAACTTTATTTCAATACTTTTTCCCCTGCCACTCTTAGGGAACTGATCATGCAGAAGCAGAACTGGTCTAGTGGGTTGATGATCTCGCCAAGTTTATTTTGAAATCTTTGTAGTGTAAAGGATGCCATTAACTTCAAATAAAATTAGTGTTAAATTTAAAAGGTTAAAAGTGACTTTGATTTCTAATCACAGTATTGCAAAAAATTCCAGATAATTAAAAAAAAAATTGGTCTTATTTTTCATAAAGCTTTCTTTTAGAAAGCGATTTTAAAAGGAATTTGAAAAGATTTTACCAGATTCTGCTTCCAAAATCTCTCATTACTTAGTTCTCAGTCACAATACCAAAGCTGGTGTTAACTTGACCTCCCAACATTTAGAGAAAACATTAAGATTTTGATGCAAATTAAAACATTTAAAGACTGAAATCTGAAATCTGCATGATTGGGGTTTGAAGCAAGCAGCAAAACAAGAGAGGCAACATAAATAGGTACAGATATTTCCAAACCCAGATGTTGTCCCCAGAATTGCTGGGTCTGCCGTGTGGGTGTTGGGAAGGCAGGGAGAGAGCCCAGGTGGGTCTCGAGTCCTTGGGAAGAGGATTGCCATCACACAGGCAGATGACAAGCTCTGTCTGAACAGTTGTGTCAGGCAGCGCTAGACCTGCCCCTCCATTTCCCACGAAGGCTCAGGATCTTTGGGGTTTGAGTTTTTCAGATATTGTAACTGGCTAGCCTGTTCTGGTTATTATTTTTCTGCACTTGCTTCAATGCAGTCTCTGTTAGGAGCTTAATCCAATGTTTGTGATTTTGTTATAACAAGCGATTGGGTTTTTATTTTTGCTATTTGTGTAACCACATGCAGAATGTGAAGGCTGTCTCTGAGACCCCTGCAGTGCCCTCAGTGTCTGAAGATGAAGATGATGAAGATGATGCAGCTCCACCCCCTGTGATAGCTCCACGACCTGAACACACAAAATCTGTGAGCAGAAATACTTACTTCAGCCCCTGCCGCTGCAGTCATGGTCGGGTCTTGACTGTGGCTCCTCATCCACGCTGCGTGGCATGGTGCTGAGCCCTTCTTGGGAGCAGGGGGGAGGAGGTGGGAGCCATTCCTTCTGGCAGAGCACCTTCGTATTATCACCTGCCTAGTTATGGCAGGGACAAGAGAGTCCTTGCTTAGTGACGTTAGCTGTTAACAAAGTTGCTATAGAAATGCATCCCTGACAACGACAAGAACAATAACAAGATGAATAGAAGTGTTTAAGTCTTTATCTGATTTGTATTAATATGTATGTTTTTCTCAACAAAATTAGATATACACCCGCTCTGTGATAGACCCCCTTCCTCCTCCTACCAGAGATGTGGCGACCTCTCCTATTTCTTCTCCCTCGGAAAACAGCACAACAGTGCCTGACATGCTGGTCAGGAACACGGAGAAACAAAAGAAAAAGCCAAAAATGTCAGATGAAGAGATCTTGGAAAAATTAAGTATGTCCTTTTTTTTTTGTTTGTTTTTTTGTTTTTTGTTTAAATTAAATTCCAGGTCCTGCTTTGTTGATTTCTCAAAATCTTAATAAGCTGAAATGTTTTGACGTTCCCATTTTGAGATCCCTTACTGAAGACATTGCATTGTGACTGTGTGCCAAAATTGGGGGCAGATGTAAGGGGGGGAGCATAAATGTAAGCCAGGCACCTGTGATGCCAACTGAAGTCCCCGGGGAGTTACAGATCCTCAGGCTCTGCAAAACAAGCACTGAATAAGTAACATCTATTTAACTATGAAGTGTGAGATTGTTCCACATCTTAGAATCATAGAATCATTGAGGTTGGAAAAGACCTCTAAGATCAT